TTGCAACCAGAGGCATCCTTTAAAAACCTTCAGCTCTTGTGAGGCTTTAGAGCACTTTACTCTACAAAATATGTAAAGAGATTTTGATTTGCAAATTTGTGAAGCCTACTTTATTATGGGGCATTTTGCTGTTATGTCAGTTTACTGTTTATGTCATTCTGCTGTCCTGCCAGACAAGATCAGCTATGGTAGATTTTCTCACATATGAACACAAAAAAAGCACAAAATTAGACCTGATGTCATAAAAAGTAGCTGGTACTTGGAAGAGGCTACTGGGGTTATTATAGATTTGTAAAACCACACTAAAAACGAAGTCTGAAAAGAACATTTTTCTGAAACAACAATACAAACTACACTTCAGAATAAAATTAAATAAATAATAATAATGCACAAAATTGTCTAATATTTTTTTAAAAAAAGAAAATGCCCCACCTAATGATGCGTTGGTGCATTTAGTCACTGAGACTGTGAACTAGCTGCCTTATTCATATTGTAATCCAGGTTCTGGACATCTTAAATCTTGCCCTGACAATGATCCTCATAATTTTTTAGCAAATCTGTTTTGAAATCTTACTGAAAGAAAGCAAATCAAAAAAAGAAAGAAAAGAAAATAGGGGGAAAAATAGTAAATACAAAACTCTAATAACTGTGGTGTATTTCTTCTGTTTCCACAAAAATAAACTCTCAGATGTCATCCTCCTATCATGCCTGTCAAATCCAGGCTAATGAGGTGCTTTATAATCTTACAGACTATGCACACAAAAGTGTTGTAAGAGATTTGCATACTCATTGATGCCTTAAGTTAAATTCAACGAGTCATGCATCTGCTGAGTCGCCAGACAAGTATAGGGCCTACGCCTCACTAACTGCAGACAGCTGACCACCATTAGGCAGATAAGGTGACAAGAAAGACCTTGTTGGTACAGACAGTGGAAATAACATAAATAAAAAGGCATGATTATCAAACAGAACAATCAAAGCAGACACCAGCATGTACCAGCGTGTTCCATTGGTATGTCACGTGTGCTTGGCTGCATGTTTCAGTTTTCTTCTGCAAATGTTTGTGATTCCAACACAGACTGGATAACAGAAGAATTTCATTTGCCACGAGTCATTTGCAGGTCAAGCTATTCACTATAATTAAGTGATAAATTAACTGATATCTAATACATAAATTAACATAAGAAGCTTTTTCTTCAGCATTTTCTCATACAGCTTGGACCGTTTAGTTAGTTGTGTTTGTGTTAAAAGGTGGAGAGAACATTCATATTTGCAGATCCCCTTACACGATCTTTGCTCCTCTTGTGCTAAAGAGAACTCACCAGTTCAGTGTTGACGTGGATTGGCTCGTGAAAGATTGTCCACACGACTGCTTCGTTGCAAGCAGGCGTTGTCAGGGAACCCATGTATCGGTAGAACTTTGTCAAATTTACATTTCCAATTAAGTCATCAATAGAGATGCTATGGTCTAAACTAACCTTGCTCCCTGTGGAAAGATTAGAATGAAAGAGACTTGAATTTAAAAGGATAAATAAATGTAATCATAAAGTGGTTTGCATTTTATATTCACTTCAGTGCATGTTCACAAAAGTCAAGAGGCATGGTTTGTCAGCTACTGTCTCACCCTCTTCTGCTTCATGACTTTACAAACTTTTATCGTTTGACTTCAAAAATAATTCCACATACAGACAAAGAAGTCAAACACAAATTTCCTTTAACTATTGTTATAACTGCAACAACAATGGCAGGCCATTCTTCTAATCTTTCAATATTCTTTTTTTTTTTTAAACAAAGCCATTGGAACTCTAGTGGAAGAAAAGACCAACCCTTGTCGGTGAGGTTTGCCAGGTATGATGTAAAGTTCACCCATGGCTCTGACTCCTGTGGACTTCAACTCTACATTATGTATGAATGCTAATTATGTTAATACTTAAAAGCCGTCAATGTAAACCAGTTTTATAAGTGTCGCCTATTTAAAAATAGCAGCGAGAAGTCTGGGGCATACAGACATTTATAAAAAAAACCAAGTACAGCATATCCATCTGGATGCTCTGGAGGGGCAGTGAGATGATCCTTCTGAGTGACTATGTGCATCTGGAAGAAAGTCCAACAACTTATAAGGCAAAGCAAAATATAGAAAAGGAGTTTAGATGTCAAGCAATGAAGAAACATTGTACCTCCGTTGGATATCTGTGCTCATAAATCATGTGCTCTGAGCCTGGATTTTTTACATCACCCCAGTGAAAGTGAAACTGAAGTCCTGTATATGTTCCACTGAGTCCACCTCCACTCACTTTAACTTCATTTCCTTTCAATGTGCACTCCACTACAAATGGTATAGATTGTTGTAACTTGGAAAACGTTGTATGTTTATGCAGTTTTAGTTAGATTATAAAGAACATAAACATATTTAATTTTGACAGAGGTGGCTTTGAAGTCTTTCTTGAGTTCGCTATTACTCAGTGTATCAATAACAAAAAAAATAAATCCTTCCACTTTAGATTTGAGATTTTAGGAAGGGGAAGCATCTCAGTATTGTTCTCAGTGGAAATTTAGTTTATTCTATAAAGATTAAGATTTAAAATGAGCATCAAAAAGCCCTAAAATGATCACTTGGATGAGATTTGTGATCCTCATTCTTTTACAAAACTCCATGAAGAAGCTGTCAAGATCAGACAACTGTTCATTACTGTACTCAGGGTTAAAAGTTTGACAAATCATCCTACCTTCACTCTTCCAGTCTCAGAGTTCCAAGTCTTATGAAGAGATGTGTTGGTTTCAATTCTCAGATTAAAAACTTTTGTCCGCTTTCAATGAGTCCATCAGTGAGAAAGGGGTAAGAAACTGCCGCAGTACACTTCAAGATACTTATCTATATCTATCAATATATATATAATATGCTAAACAATGGGAGGACACCCCCGTGTATAAACAAAGAGCAGTATAGCGGAGACACACAACATGGTTGAAGACACTTTTACAAAATGTGGTATTCAAAATAGATGCATCAATAGGAGTGTACCAGTTATCTGGTTAAGTCAGTATGTTTAACTATATTCATTCTACTCCAATGCATCACTTAGGTGCTTATGTGTATATGAAATCATATATTTGATCCCAGAGGATGGAATAATTAAAGAAATGGACGAAACAAGACAAAACCCCAAAACAGTGCATACTGCAACAAAATGTATTCATTCCAATGGCAATACATTTTTTTCTAAAGCACAGCACAAACAAATCTTGTTATGTACAAGAATTTTCAGATGCTCAGCTTACAAAATGTTTCATAGGAAATAGAGCTGTTTGTCGGGTTTCTTTTTACAATCCAGAAAAACCACCCTTAGTTTCTATTACTTCTAGATGAGACAAAGGTGAAAATATAAGAAAGTTCTTATTCAAAACACTCTGATTTGGTGCAGTGACAGGTCCCTCACTTTGTTTTTTTTGTATAGAGTTCATCATTTGTATTATCATTTTTTTAATCACAGAGTTGGACAACCAAGCCCCCATATACAGTGTTCGGGTCAAACAAAGCTGATGGTATGAGCTTCATATTCAGATGACATTTTTGAATTTGATATCACTCCTGTATTTCCTGTGACACTATTTAAAACATTCCATTGGAAAGTTGTAGGGCCCCCAGGAACAAATTAAAGTCACTGACATGGAGATTTAACCTATCCATTCATGTGACACATCAATCAAAAATAATGATACTGAGATAAAAACAAAAAACAATACCACTAAATCTCTATTATTGAAAAGGGAAATGAAAAACGTATTCCAAAGTGCAAACGTTATATTTTAAAGAAAAAAAAAACATTGAAAGATTTATCCTACCAACAGGTGCCTATTAGCATTCAATACAACCCCAATCATGTGACCATCCACAAACTATTATCGAATAAAATAAAACTATTATACACAAAACATTGACAAATGTTAAGATAAGCAAATAAATTAAGACATGATTCCTACAAACTGCAGTATTTACACTAGTCAGCCAAAAGTGGTGACAAATTTATTAAAAACCAATTGTCAAATTTCATTCATATGTCAATTTATTACAAAATATTGATAGGTAAAGGTACAGAGATTTACAATTTGTTATCACACAGACCTGTTACCTGGTCATGTTTAATGTCAACCACTGTGTATACACACATCACTTTGGTAAGTGAATCTACACAAAAAGGGTTTCTGTCCTTCATGTCCTCACACACTCATCCCTATGCTTTGTTAGGCCCAGTTCTCTTTGTGTTTATGCAAAACGGAAATACAGCAAACACACAACACCTTTTTCCAAAACATTAAAGATGATGGCGAGGTATGGAGTAAACTGACACAGTGACGATGATTGTTTATTAAGACAAATGATTGTGCGGATCAGTGAAAGACTTGATCTTGACATGACAATGTTCATGATTTTTACAATTTGTTGGTTGTTATTTTTCTTATTTTCTTTGTCAATTCACTGACAAATGAACAAAGATTTTTTAAGTAGTTGGGAAGCACAGAAAGATCGCACCTGACCTTACTAATTTACATAAAAATACATTATATTATTTAATCATCTGATGTTTACTTCTGAGTACAGTAGATCAATTTTTCCTGTTTACTTTGGTTCATTTGTCACAATAAGTACTGCCTCTTAGTCTGTGGCAGTATGTCGACAAAACAAGCACAGTTGTTTTGGTTTGATCTTAAAGACAACAAACCGCTAACAAAAAAGACATGGATCACAGAGTCCCTGTTTGATTGACACATTTGCATGTTTACTTGTTGGAAAATATTTTTAAAATGTTGGTATCAAGTTTGAACTTTGATTTGGACCATTTTTCCTTTTTGGTAATCTGTTTTTTACACCTTTATGTGTGTTATGTAAGACTAAGTGCCTGAATTACCTATTGAGAAATATAAGTCATGACATCTGACATTTGCACCGGTGCCTTACTGGCTTCCGGGTTTTATTGTTTACAAAATCTTTAACTCACAACTTCCGTTTCTGAACCCAATTTATTGTGAACCATTTAGAGACTGTAACAGTTAAATTGCAGAAGCTAAAGGATACAGATGATGCAAAAAGCAACCATGCTAAACACATTTTTATTAAAAGAACTAAATGTTTTATTGGATAATGGCAAAACAGTTCTTTTTACAGTGTTTTGCATTAAATTGTACTCTAACAGGAAGCAAGCACAAGAACTCAAAAAGGACACAACATGAGAAATTGCAATTTGTCATAATGTTCATGGTCCTTTTTTCCTCTAGTGCAGTCACACATATTCCTATCAAGTATATAAAGCATGATATATGGAATTATGTTGCAAAGAAAAAAATACAACTCTAAATATGCCTTTATTTTAGATTCCTGAAAGCAGCCACCCTTTTCTTTGTTGATAGCGCTGCAAACCGTTGGCATTCTCTTAATGAGCTTCATGATGAAGTCACCTGAAATGGTTTGACTTCACAGCTGTGCCTTGTCAGGCTTCATTTGGGGAAATTCTTGCCTTCTTGATGAGATTGGGACCATCAGTTGTGTTGCGCAGGAGTCAGGTTGGTACAAAGCTGACAGCTCTATTGGACAACTGTTAGAATTCAAATTATGGCAGGAAACAATCAGCTAAGTAAAGACAAACAACAGTCCATCATTACTTTAACAACTGAAGGTCAGTCAGTCAAGAAAACTTTGAATGTATCCCCAAGTGTAATTGTAAAATCAATCAAGTGCTACGACGAAATTGGCTCACATGAGAAACGGCCCGTGAAAGGAAGACCAAGAGTCCTCTATCCTGCTGAGTATACATTCATTCGAGTCACCAGCCTCAGAAATTGCAAGTTAACAGCACCTCAGGTTAGAGCCAAGATAAATACCACACAGAGTTCCAGTAGCAGACAAATCTCTACATCTACTGTTCAGAGCAGACTGCGCGAATCAAACAGCTGCTGAGAAATCACTTCTAAGGAAAAGCAACAAGCAGGGGAGATTTGTTTGGGCCAAGAAACACAAGGAATGGACATTTGACCATTGGAAATCTGTGCTTTGGTCTGATGAGTCCAAATTTGAGCTCTTTGGTCCCACTCCCATAGAGTGAAGGCAAAAGGGCCAACAAGTGCTCAGCATCTCTGGGAACTCCTTCAAGACTGTTGGAACACCATTTCAGGTGACGACCTCATGAAGCTCATCGAGAGAATGCCAGGAATATGCAAAGCAGTGATCAAAGCAAATCATGGCTGTTTTGAAGAACCTAAAACATAAAACATGTTTTGAGTTATTTCACATTTCTTGGTTTACTTCATGATTCCATGTGTTCCTTTATAGTTTTGATGCCTTCAGTGACAATCTACAATATAAATAGTCATGAATATAAAGAAAAAACATTAAATGAGAAGGTGTGTCCAAATGTTTGACTGGTAATGTATATATTATATATCTTTTTTGTCTGCATGATTCATGACAAGCTCCTATATGTCTGTGTGCATACCTGCATGTGTGTCTGTGTGTGCGTTCCATTAACACCATGCACAAACTGTGTCTCTAGATCCAGCTGGATTTCTGAAACCAGAACAGTTATTTTTGTTTTTCAATTTGGTATGTAAATGTGAAGCTAAATGTCAAATTGTGCCCTTTCTCACAATAAAAAAGAATAATTCCCTAAATTCCTAAACCTACAGTTAGAAAAACTCCAAAACCTTACAATCACATAATGTCTTTGGCATAAGTAAAAAGATGACTTTATCAAATTTTGGGACTTTGGTAGAAATAATAAAAAGACAAAAAAAAGTGGGGGGAAAGAGTGAAAGAAGAAATCATGTGTGGAAAAATTGTGCACACTGACTTTTTTCTGTTCTTCTCACAACAAAGAATTAAGTATCATTTAAATCATAAATATGTCTTTGCTTTTGTTTGCAAAATTCATAAAAAGCTTGTGTGGGATGTGGTGAAGTCTGGTGAGCAGTTCCACATTAAAGCAAACGGACATAATTCCCAGGGAGCTCAGAGCAGAGAGGCAACAGTCCTGCAGAAACAAAAGGAAAACTATGTGTAAAGGCAGCAGTACAACAATAATGAATCTAAAAATATCTCTGTGTTTTTAAATGTGAATAGTCTTACTGAAAGAGGGATCCAGTCAGCTCATCAACAAAACCACCTACAAAATTTAAGTCAAACCAAAGTTAATGAAATCTGTGAACACACAACAGTACACCCACAGAATCACAACTAGCACTTACCCGGTGTGCAAACTGTGTCACAAAGAATGGGACAAATGTAGCAGGTTGAACAACCCTGGAAAACAAAACAAACAAAACCGATTAACGCAAAGAGGCACAGGGCAAAATGAAGTGCTGTGTATTATTACAGAAGTTATAATCCTTTTTAAGTCAAGATGCTTACTTGGCAGTGCTCACAGTGATCAGACTCATCTCCTTCCTCACACGGGCACTTGGCACAGTTATTAGAGCAATGCTACAAGATGGGAAGAAACCACAACGTAGAGTGATTAGTCGTGCATATGGTATATAGTCAGGGCAAATCGACAACACAGGACTTATAATGATGTGTGATTACTGGGTAGATTCACAAAAAAGTCTGTTAATTCCATTACATGTTTTTGTTTGTTTTTTTTACCTCACAAATGGAGCAAACACTACACAACGATCCAGAGTGGAACTGTGGAGTGTCAGCAGCTCCCTCCTCTTCATTTGAGTCACCTTGGTTGTCCTTTGTGTCTTTACCTTCAGACTCATCTGTAAATGGTTCACAGAATCAGGAACTGTATTCTAATCATTTCAATTCAGTTTTATTTATACGTCCAAATTACAACAACAGTTGCCCAATGGTGCTTTATATTGTAAGGACCAGGGAAAACCCCAATAATCAGATGACCCTCTGTGAGCAAGTGCTTTGGTGACAGTGGACTGGAAAAAACTAACAGGAAGAAAATTGAGAGGTAGCTATAGTGATCGGTTGGGAGTGAGCGGAGGAAGACAGGACAAGACACGCTGTGGAATAGAGCCAACTGTATCTTGTAGAACATTAAATTGTCTAAATAAATATATGATTATAACCCTATATGTCTTGAAAATATTTTGCAGGAAATTCTTGCAAATTCATCCAAAATAAAATACAATTATATAAGTTTTACATAAGTATTCACAACCTTTGTTCAATACTAACACCTTTTGCAACAATTACTACAATAACTGCCAGTTCCTGCTACCAAAACCATCCCCACTGTCTGACACTACCACCGCCATGCTTCACTGTGATGGTATTGGCCAGGTGATGAGCAATGCCTAGTTTCCTCCAGACATTCCTCCAGACATGCTGTTTTCATCAGACCAGAAAATGTTGTTTCTCCTGGCCTGCAGGGGCCTTTGAACAAGTGAAAGACTGTGAATGCGTTCCTGATTCACTGTATCAAAACCTAAGTATTCACATGGGTTTCCAAATTGTTGTGTTGGTGCTAATGATTTCAATTCATTTGGGAGTAATTTACCACTTCATTCATCACTTTTTCAGCCTTTTTGTAGTTAACCGCTGAGAGTACAGTGACTTTGGGCCTTTTGAGCCTCTGTACTAACACACAATCCAAAAAGACCTTTTCTAGTGAGTACTGATTACTGCCATTTATTTACAAGTTACGTGTCTAATGTTTAATTCTACTTGATGCAATATTATGGCACAGATGGTCTCTTTTTTTGTATTATATTTTTGTCATAACATCATGTTGTTAGATTTGTATTGTTGATTGTCATTTATGCTTAGAAATATCTACTCATATATGCTTAGAGTGTTATAATCAATGTCATGTTGGTAGAGCTTTGATCCTTAATAGTCTGCAAAGGCTTGGTGTGCATTCCAGAGTGTTCAGGCATTCACACCCACATCCTGGGAGCATGGGAGAGGGCATACCTTCCCTTATTGTTTTATGGTAGGATAAACGTAGCTATGTCAGTTTTAGTCTAAGTACCTTTTGTTTAGATGAACTGCCAGACATCCAGACCGGCAGGTCTGGAAGTCATTTATGGGGTCACACACTGACTCCACACACACACACATACACAATGCACAGGCAAGGTACTCTTTGTGTGTATGTATACGTCATATGTTAATGAACCTATGTATATTCATGTAACCTCAATAAAAGAGCAATGTTACGGGGGAGCGGACGAGACCGACTGGGGTCAAGCAAAGGAACGGCGCTTGTCATGGTTTTCTCCCTCATATATGAGTAACACGAAGAACTTTGCCTACTTGGTGTTTAATGCTTTTTGCTGTGTAGTTGAATTGTCCTTAACATTCCAGCAAATAGGTTTATGCTACAAACCTATCACATGTGACATGTTTGTTTTTACAAAATAGTCTAAGTAGATTTACTGTAAACAAAGCTAAAATTCCTACAGGTGCTGTTTTTCCATAATATCATTTGTTGTCATTTTTTTCAAGCATGAAGCAATGACTGAAATTTAAAAAAAAAATCCCTTTATAACACCCTCTTTTGGACAAATCTCAAAGTATTCAATGTTTGGTGCTTGTTTGAAGTCTCAAAAGCTACACTGGCCACTAGAAAATAGATGGTTTAGATACTGTTGCCTTCCTGCTGTTGCACAGATAATCCAGTCCATTTTAGGACTGATATGTATGACAGTGTTCCTAAAGTAACCCTAGTAAGCTGAACAATGTCAGAGAGCTACTGTAGAGTACAGAGTCACTCACGGGGTTCCAAAAAATCTCATTATTTGTTGTAACTTTAAATACTGCACCATTTAGTATCTTGCTAACCCATTAATATGTTTCAAAATGTGTGCATGTTTTTTTGTTAAAGTGTGATTCACCATCTTCATCTTCAGAGTCATCCTCATCTACATCCTCTCCTTGAGTTTCTTCATCATCACCCTCTTGCCTTGCTTCCTTCTCATCGTCTTCCTCATTATTAGCTGGGACTTCCTCCTCCTCATCTGCATCTGCCTCCACCTCTTCCTCTTCATCCTCCTCTGCTGCATATTCTTCTTCAGATTCTACCTCTTCTGCATCATCCTCATCTGAAGCCTCACCTTCTTCATCCTCCTCTGCTTCATATTTTTCCTTTTCTGCATCATCCTCATCTGAAGCCTCACCTTCTTCATCCTCCTCTGCTGCATATTCTTCTTCAGATTCTACCTCTTCTGCATCATCCTCATCTGAAGCCTCACCTTCTTCATCCTCCTCTGCTTCATATTCTTCTTCATATTCTTTCTTTTCTGCATCATCCTCATCTGAAGCCTCACCTTCTTCATCCTCCTCTGCTTCATATTCTTCCTTTTCTGCATCATCCTCATCTGAAGCCTCACCTTCTTCTTCCTTCTCAACATCCCCGTTCTCCTGAGAATTATCTTCTTCCTCATTATCAGCATTGTCATCTTCCTCCTCTGCTGTCTCCTTCTCATCCTCCTGTTCTTCTTCCACCTTTTCATCAGTCTCTACCTCATCATCATCATCATCTGAGTCTTCATCTTTTTCTTCATTCCCCTCACCAACCTCAGCCGTTTCACTTTCTTCAGCCTCCTTAGCATTTCTATCATGGAGGCTTTCCTCCAGTTCGTTCAAGTCTTGGGCACTTACAATAACAGAGAAAGGGACCTGGGATGAGCACAGCAGCATAAGCAGGAGACCTACCACCCAAAATTTTACAGGTGCCATCTTGGGAGAAATGCAGCTTTGGAATTTGAAGACTGTCTTATTCTTGTTACTCTATTCTTCCACCAAAAACCAAAACAGTTGATGGAAGACAAAAAGCTGCTAAGGCGCAGCAGATTTAGGCAGTGTTCAGGTCTTTTTCCCAGACTCCCGAGAGACGGTTTGAAAAGAAGTGTGCTCACAGAGAGCAGAGTGCCAGGCTTGTGCTGGGAACACAGAGGACACAGTGGAAACACGACTGTGTGTGGCTGGGTATACTTGAGTGACAGAGGCACATGGCGAGGAAGAATGCTCCTGATGCCCTTAACACAGAGCATTAGAGAGGTGAGTATGCATTTGGTGGATGGGGGAGGGGGCTACTGAACTGCAGGAGGGGGGCAAAAATAAGATTTTTTTTTTCTTATTAGAAATTACAACAATTAAATAATTTGAAGATGAAGTTTTGGTTCTATACACAGCTTTTGTAGTCATAGCTCCCAAACTATTCAGGAAAGAAGCAGAACTTTGATAAATGTACTATGTGTGGGTTTTTTAGATTAATGGTTCGCACATTTTTGGAGTATTCTTCTCAGTATCTGCTATTTACTTTAGTGTACACAGCAAAATTAATTTCTTCTTGCCACTGCTGAAGCAAATGAGAATACGTAAGGATCATGCAGACGTGCATGTACATGCAAGGAAATGGAGAGGAAAGCACTTTGAACATATGCTTACTTCCCAAAAATAGCATTTTTTTTAGGCTTCTTGTGTGTGTTTTTTTTTTACTTTGGAGCCAGCAGGAGGAGAACAGTGTTATAAAGTCCACACTCACAGTGGCACAGTCAGCTACAATACTGCAGAGAGCAGCCAGGCTGAAAGCGATGACAGTGCCTCTCAGTGTGAGTTGCTCCTCCTCCGGTTATTGACAGGTGACGCAGCTATTTACAGTGAAGGCTCCTTCAATGGCTTGTTCCACTATGTGACCTTCAATGGAGCCATGGCAGACTGAAACTCAGCACCAGCATGCTTCTTTAACACTATCCATGATACTTATGTGCATAGTAGATCCAACTATTACAATCCCACATTGTGCACAGAATTAAAATGTATTTATTAATGACAAATAATAGGTTCTTTCATCAAGTTTACTAAAATGATCACATTCAAAAGTATTTTTATTATTATTCTTTATTCATTCAAATCTCATTGAGATTTAAATCTGTTTTTAAAGACACACCTGGCAAAGAGCGGAGACGAAGTTTCAGCAAATACACAAAGAAAAAGCTAAGTCCAGTCCAGACAGGTGAACACAAAAAGCAAACATTATTACAAGAGTGGTAATAAAAGCAGTCAAACTGGCCCAAAGAGCTCACACTTCTCACACTTTTTTAAATGGACTTAAACTCCCCCATCATGAGTCTGATAATCAGTTGTGCAGTCTGAACTTCTTATGTAGATTACTGCAGCACAAAGGGGACAGGATATTTTAAAATGTCTATTCACAACTCCATTCTGACCCTGGAGACAAACATTTGTATAATATTGTGAAAGCGTAGACTGGTTGTGGTTTTTACATATACAGACACATGGCTTTTTTTCTGGCTTTATTAGATAGGTGCAGTGAAGAGTTACAGGAAAGCAGAGTAAGGGGAAGACATGTGGCAAAGTGCTGCGGGTCAGATTTGATCCCAGGCCAGGTGCTCTCAGCCATATGGCATATGGTCACCTGCTCATCTCAGTGACCTAAACTGGTGCCCTCGACCAGACATTTTTAGATTAAAAAACAATTATATACAGAGATGGGGATATTCAGAAATGAGCACTTAGCAGCAGCATACAGAGAACAGTGATGTACATCATTTTCGCAACTAGTGATAAAACATAAAGCACAATAACAAACAGTATACAGCCTCTTTAGGTGCTGCCCTGGTATGTTTAAAAGGAGCAGATCACAGTAATGCAAAAAGGGAAGGAAAGGGAAAAGAAAATGAAACAAAGTAAGTTTAATGAGACTGAACAACATCTAAGACTGCCTCAAGAAATTCAAGTGTTTGTACTAATCAAGTAGATGAACAATAGATAACTGTGTCATCTGCATAAAACGAGAATTCGAAAGAAACCTAGATTTTACCCTTGGTTTCTTTTCTTACCTACAAGTTACCTACTACGTTATGAAACCAGACAGGCCTGACTGTCTGGAATGTATTTGCTCACTCTGCACTTTGATTTTGTGCCAAGAATTAGACAAGACAAGGAACCTTTTTTGTATAGTGCAGCCACGTGAAACAGGCATACATCATTCACTTCTAAGAATTTCTCTACAAGGACATAATAACTAGATAATGATCTAATAAAAAAAATCTCTGAAATTATTTAAATAATCCAAATATCAATACTTTGGTCTCATTTGTCCAAAAGGCATACCACATGAATTGTGGCAGGCTTTTTTAACCAAACTCTCAGCAACAAATTCCTTTGTTGTCATATTAAAAATAAATGTATTATACTGCATAAAAACTTGATTAAATAGAAAACAATAATGCAGACATAAAAATACGGCCCATATTTGCAGTGTAACGGAGCAAAAAAAAGTATTAACGTGCTCTCAATATGACCCCTGATAGACAACATCACAGAAAATCCGACTACAATGTAAAAGATTTAGTAAGCGCTTTTAAAACTAAAGCAGTGAAGATGACATGTTATCTGCTTACTTACTGCAATAAAACCCAAGTGAAAGCAGTGTGACTTTTTCAACTTGCAGGCTGTTTTGTAAGCAAAACTGATTTCATAAGTTCTGGGAAGTACCTCGTAACACAGGTAGGGCACGAGGAGGTTTGACTGTACTTCCTTGTGCTAAAGTATCCACAACCCAGTTGAGGACAGTTGAGTATTGCTCCATCTGAGAAGAAAGAGCAGAATATCAGAATATCATAAAAGTCCAGAATAGAATAGTTATTCTTAAATCTAAATGAAAACCAAGTGAGAAAAGGATGACTTATTTTTTATTGATATCAATAATGAATAATGGCAGATATATATGTGTTCAAGCTTTCGGTTTATTGCATGTCTTGTCTTTGTGTCTATAACAAAACACAAAAAAAGATTGAAATAATCTGTTTAATTTCAGTATTTATATCAAATAAATATTATGTAGTCCCATTTGAGCATTAACATAAAGTATTATTTTAATAATTGGAAAGCTCAGAGAGTAAAAATGTTTTTGTGCTTAAAGGTGTTTTGTCTCCTACTGGAGAAAATCATCTTGAATAAGGAAACTGCATCATCAAAGACACACATGAGGGCAGCAAAGCCTAGCTTAGCTTAGTTCAAAGACAGATGAAATAGAGACAGCTTGCCTGGCTCCATCTAGTGACCAAAATCCAACTACCAACTAAAACTAAAACTCACCTTTCATTTCTACAAGACCACAATTTGTCACTTTCTAACACTCTAATTAATGTGCAACCAAAACTATTGGCTGTTTTTTTCTCCAAAATATTAAATATGCATTACTTACCATCACCCACATTATCTCTGACCTCAGCCAGCAAACAACTTTGCATAAACCCAACTTAAACTGCCTTTCTGCTTTATAGTAGGTGTTTTCCCCCATGTTCCATCTTTCTGTCATTATACTCCCTAATCTCTATATAAAATACTTTGACTGTGCAGACATGCTCTTTCACAGCATTTCTACATATGTATGAGGAATGAGTCAAAGGGTATTAAATGACAAAGTCAGAGCTTCAGAAAAATGCTTCTGTTTTACCTGAGCCTGTAGTCTGTGTTCAAACTCTTTGCTTTCAGTCAGACGTTTAAGCACATCATCTACCCTATATCAAAAAAATAAACATTCTTCAGAATGATGGAGTCACAATTTCATTTTGCTGCTACAGTGGAGCAGGATGCTTTGCTCACTTTGCAGACATCCGTTTGAGCCTTTCTGAGTCGCTGCTTTTCTGGATCTTGTTTCGAGCAGTCAGGAAGTCTTCCTTCTGAATCGTTTCCCATGTTGATAATCGGTTCGCTGCCTTTGCTTCCAAGTCTAACACTGATAGAAAAGACAAAGGTTTGAATTGATTACCTTTCAACTCACTGTTTGTTTACATCGGTGCTAAGCTGAGGTCAGTTTGCAAATAAACAAAGAGCCCATTCTCATTTAGACAGTGAAATTTTTAGTGAGTAACTTAGTGATAACATGGCAGCAACTGATCAAAAAAACCCATAAAAACTCATTTGTGAACAACAACAACTGGAAGATATTTAACAAAGTATCCAATTCCAATTCAACTGTGGCTTTCTCACCTGTTACACTTATTATTTCAATATAATAAAGCAATAGCTTTATTAAATTAATAAATTTATTGTATTATTGTGAACTAAGACTCCTGATCCAATACTGACCAAAGTGGTGGATCTTTACAGAGGGCACTTTGTGGATGATCCTCTTGATAAAGACTTTGATGTGTGAGAGGATAATGAAAGGCGGAGCCAAAGAAGGACGGGAGTGATACTCGACAATCAGGTTGTAACGCTGGAACTTCCAGTAGGTGTCACTGTCTTCCTGCACTTCAGAGAAAGTGTAGCTGTGTGGATACAAGCAGATCAGAGCCACTGAGTCAAGTCAAACCATTCACAGTTTGTGAATGCAGTCAGAGAAACATAATGACAGACTGGTTCTTTACCTAAACATGGCAATAAGCAGGTTGATGAGCAGGATGTTGGTGACCAGGAGATATACGACTAGCAGAATCACTACCAGCCAGTTACTATCCTGATTTCTACACGGCTCTTCACCGCTCTCAATCAAAGTCACATTGTCTGTGCAGTTTAGTACCCGTCCCACTGTCACAAAATAGAGATAAAAGGAGAAAGGTTAAAATAAGGGTTACAATAATAAAAAAAATAACTAAATTTCTAATTGCTGTGATGAATTTTAAAAACCTGCAGTAGAAAAAAGCAGCATTTTAAAACTGATTTCAGTGTAATAACAATTTTCTTATTTTCATGCAAATTGCACAAACACTTGTACCATCCATCTCTTCCTCGATGGAAGAGCCGTATCCAAAGATGTGCAAGTATGGCATGTAGAAAACTCTCAGAAAAATGCGATTTGGATTTGGATCATAGTTGTAGATCAGAGCCTGATTGGCAACTCCGTACGCCAAGACCCACACGCCCAGGAAGAAGAGGAAGAAGAAGACATCCTTCATCTAAACAAGA